GTCTATCTCATTGCCTCTGTCTATCTACCTATCTCACAATCTATTTCACATTCTATCTTTCTATATCATTGTCTATTTGTCAATCTATCTCCTGTCTATCACTCTATCTCACTATTTGTCTATCTATATCACTATCTATCTATCTTACTATCTGTCCATCTTACTATCTGTCTATTAATCTTGCCATTTGTATATCTATCTCACTGTCTATCTGTCTGTCTCACTGTCTATCTATATAAGTCTCTGTATATCTCACTGTCTATTTCACTGTCCGTCTGTCTGTTATCTCACTATTTGTCTAACTCAACTGTTTATCTGCCTACCCCTCTCACTTTCTATCTGTATATCTATCTCACCGTCTATCTATCTCACTGTCTATCTCAGAGTGTGAAGAAGAAATCATTAAAAAAATTAAAAAAGAGAAAATGGACAAGAGAACTGGGATTCTTCAATTACAAGGGTAACATTTCTAGCCAAAAATAACTTTTATTTCTCTACGAGATGAAAAATCTAAATTAATATAAGTTAAAGAAATTAAGAAATTATGATATCATATTTATGCTTATTTTGATAGAACATTTATATCATTATGAAACGTGTTATTCTTGCTGTAGTTTGCTTTAAGAAAGAAATAGATGGAGAGAGAGAGTGAAAGTGATCGAGAGAGAGAACTGTCAGTCTGTCTGTGTTTGTAGCCACAACCCAGTTACTTTCATAATAGGTATAAAAATAAGAAAATAGCGGAAATGGAAATTGATGGAAAGATAGAGAAAGACAAAAAAAAGGAACACGAAAAGAATGAAAATATTAATAACAATAATCGTAACAAAAATGGTAATGTAGATCAGAATAACGGTGCAAATTAATATAGTAATAATAGTTATTATTCAACATTAATATAATCATTGATATGCTCACGTTAATGCTCTACAATCATTAGATAGACTGCGTTAGGGTAAACATACTGATGTTTTATTTTAGATGCATTTACGCACACACACACACATACTTACAAACATAAACAAAAGGGTTCAAATAAAATATAATGATAATTTCTTTGCAACCAAAAACAAACTACGCAAATTGTTCATACCTTTCTCTATTTCTTTATTTCTCTCTCTCTCTCTCTCTAACACTCTCTAATAATAATAATAATAATAATCTTTAATAATAATAAAAATAACAATGATGGTATAATTGGAATAAGATTAATATTGGTGATCAGAATGGTGTTGCATATGAACTTAGTAATAAGAACAATAATGGATAGCTACAGGGATAAAGACAATAGGAATATATATGGTTAAAATGACAATTTTTAACAATTATGAATTCGAAATATTTTTGTCTCACGAAACTATCTACTGCATAACCGTTATAAAAATACTTAGACCAATAACTGCTAAAAAATAAAAAAATTCACTTCCTTCTTTCTCGCTTTCTATCCATATTTACACTCTCCTCTTCTCTTCTCTCTCTCTTCTCTCCTCCTCCTCTCTCTCTCGCTTTCCTCTCTTTTTTTTTCTCATACAAACAGACAAAAACAAACAAACCAAAATCAAAATGTGAAATCTGCAGCTTATTAATTCCAAACAGCAATTAAGTAAACATCCAAGATGGCCTGATGAATTAAATACTACTTTCGATTTCATGGCCATAATTTTAACAATTTTATCATCAATTCAGGATTGTTTAGAATTGAACTCAATCCAACTTGCTGCCAGAGTGTAAAATATTGATTAAGGATATATAACGGACAAGGAGAAAGAGCGAGAGCGAGATGAAGTACCTAATAGATGAATAGATAGATACACACGTATACACAAGCAGAGATTTATAGTGTATATGAGGATTTGCGTGTTCAAAGATGATCTGAGACTAACTGCCCGAAAAAAACATATACTAAATGTTTGTTAATTTAAATGTTTATCTTTAACATAAATATTGATGTATTCAGGGTGATGCACTACAATGATTAACGTGTATTAGGGCAAACCTGTTGATGCTTATATTTTAGATGAACTTTAGATTTTGCCAAAACATTTAATAAACATATTGTTGATTAGTTTGAAAACACCTACGGGCACAGACACACTCTACAGATAAGTTCATCGTGAACCAAATACCAAGTACAAAAATATTTTTATTTTGCGATTTTTGTCTCTCTCTCTCTCTCTCTCTCCCTATTTTAAAGATTATCACCTTTTCTTCATTACCTCTTGTTATTTTTCTTGTTATCCTTCTTTTAATCGTTTTCTCAAAAAGAAACGCCGATTTAAAAATAGAAAAGAAATGGATGTAAATATTTTCAAAACATTAACCAAGGGCAGATTATTATATTAATAAAGGTTAAAATATCTTAATTCTGTGCTTTACGAAAAAAATAGGCCTATCCCTAAGAACAACCAACCCTATCGACGAGAGAGAGAGAGAGAAATAAGCCATCTTGGATATTTACTAAAGTGTTCTTTGGAGTTAATAAGCGGCAGATTTCACAGTTTGACTTTGTTTTGCGGTATAATTGTCTATTGATATATTACAATATATGTATGTATGTAACTTTGGGTTAGATTGTATTAATAATATTTTCAAAAGATATGTACTGAACAATGAAGACTATTTTTGCTTCAAAACCTTTTTATGCCAATATGAAATATCAGATTAAGACTACGCAATGGAAAAAAAGATAAAGAAAAAGGGACAGATAAGGGCAGAGAAAGGAAAAAAAAAAAAAAAAAAAAGAGAAGAGAAACATACTGATCAGAAAGTAATCAAAATGATAGCCAAGTAACAGCCTTCTCAGTTTTAGATATATTATATTTGTATATAACAATCCATATATTTATACTTATCCCTATTATCATGCCACTATTATTGGCATTTATTACTGTCTGTTATTACAGTTATTAATATTACGGTCATAATTATTTTTATCCTTTGCCTCTTCTATAATCTTCCTCTCTTCCCATCAATCACTTCCACTTTCGACTTTCTCTCATGTTTGTACCTATTTTGTGAAAGTAAGCCTAGCTGTGGCAACATTACTCTCTCTCTCTCTCTCTCTCATACAAACGCACAAAAGAGATAAAAAACAAATATATTCTGATGATATTTATACCGCAGAACAAAAACAAACAAACAAAAATTAAACTGCGAAATCTGCACTTTATTAATTCCAAGCAGTAACTTATTAAATATCCAAGATGGCCTAATGAGTTAAACACCTGCCTTCGAGGCGGGGGGACTGGGGTTTGATTCCCCACTCTTTTTCATTTTACTTTTGATTTCGTGGCTATGATTTTACCAATTTTATCAACAATTCACTTAATAATGAGAATACTCAAGCAGAATCTGCGGTTTGATAAAACTTTCCTATTGAAAGAAAATACTAAAACTGTTTAGGATTAAGCTCAATCAAATTTACTGTTAGTGTGTAAACCATTAAATAAGGACATAGCGGAAATTAGGTGGTAGATTTTTTTTTTTTTTTTTTTTTTTTTTATAGATTCGCGAAGCAGAGCCTCGCCCGGGCTATGCCCATTTGGGGAGCCCGGTAATTAGGTGGTAGATAGATAGACACACATATATATAAGTAAAGATACATAGAGAGTATGTTTTGGCATGCATATATGAGGGTTTGCGCGTCCAAAGGTGTTCTGAGACCAATGTCCCGAAAATGTTTCGCTAATATAAGTATTTATTATTTACACAGGCATCGATATGTTTAGGTCAATGCACTACAATCGCTAGATAGAGTGCAAAGTGTCATTTGGGATTAATTTATTACAAGACCATTTTATTTATTTATTTATTTATTTTTTGTGTGTGTGTGCGTGTGCATGTGTATGAATTAATAAACAAATATTACGAAAAATGTGAGAGACAAATAGTGGATAATGGAAAATAAGAAAAAAAGAGGTTAAAGATAAAAAATATAAAAAAATACATGCCTTTTTTTTTATAGAAAATGTGCTGCCAGTGTGTAAAATACTAAATAAAGAATATCTACTGAATTAGGAGAAAGAGTGAGAGTGACATTAACTGACAAATAGATATATAGACAGAGATAGATATAGAAAGGGTAGTATTTTGACATGTTCATGTGCATGGGTATATGCATTTCAGACACAAAGCATAAACAAGAGCAGGTAATAATTTCATTAACCAAAAACCAGCAAAAAGTGTTCATCATTTAATTATATATATTTTTTTTTTCATCCCACTCTTTTTCACATAAGTGATGTAAAATCCTCAGTCAGAAGAAGTAAAGTAAAGTAAAAAAAAAAAAAAAAAAAAAAAAAAAGTGAGTTGCCACATAGTGATTAATTTGGGATCATATATGCATATAAAGATGCGCCATTTCTAACTTCCTATTCATCTCCTCGCTCTCTCTTTATATATATATATGTATATATGTATATGTAATCATGGAAATTATCATTTCGATTATAGATATCGATAGGTTTGCCTTGGCCTCCTTGTGCATTTTTTTTTTATGAATCTCATATTTTCTTTTCCTTCTCTATGTTCATCTTCACAAGCATCCTCTCTCTCTCATATCTTTTATTGTTTACTAATCTGTTTAGGCATATTACTGCCATTTATTTATGTCTGTACGCATGCGTTATACACACACGAACTTACACACAAAGACAAACTTACGAAGAAATACAAATTAAACATATTTTGTTGATTATTATTCTGTTGAATTTAAAGTCTCCCTTTCATTTTGTGTCTCATATTTTTTTAATGTTTCTGTTTATTTATATTATTAGTTTGTACATTGTTTTGCTATTCAAATATGATAGAACATTCATATAATGGAATGTTTATACCTATATGCTTGATAGCTTATAAATGTAGTTCATGTTGAAAGCTACTAAAATTGTTATTCCTACTGTAGTTAGCCCTAAGAAATTTCAAGATTTTAATACGGCGGTGGAATTATAAAAGAAAAACTTCGTATTGGAAAAAGCAAAGTCAGTTAATCATAGAACTTCTCATCTGGAGTACTTGGATTTGCTTTTTCCCTTCAGCATTTCATATTGTTCCATTATCTGTTCATGGCGAATATCCTGCGTAATTCATACCAACAAAATCAAAAGGATGAAATGAATGCAATTAAAACACTAATGAATACAATTTTACCCAAAAATGGGCTTACGTGTGATTGCACAATTGGCATGGAACAGTCTCGAACGCGGGGCTTTAGGATTTTAGCAGATCTCTACATATATATGTATGTAGGTGTAATATCTAAGTTGTGAATAGATTGTCACCGTTTACTCCGTTACAAGGTGTTGTTTGTCGTTACGTTAATGTGAAAAATTACCTTGGGAGAATTCTTGCTAATAAAGTCCCTGTAATCGATTTTTTTCAGAGATTCTCCGTGAACTTTTATTAATATATCTCACATTTTACTCAATGATAATGTATCCACACACGATCTACAATTGAAAAAAAATGGTCATGGATTTCTAACTGGCAAGATTTTTTGTTGCTGACAAATTTTAATATAATTCGAAAATATTTAACAGCGAACTCTTTTATTTTACGCTATTTGTGAATGATTTTATTTATTTATTTATTTATTTATTTATTTATTTTTTTTTTTCTTAGTCCGAATTGCGAAGCAGAGCCTCGTCCGGGTTATGCTCATGAGGGGAGCCCGGTCCTTTTTTATTCAATATTATTATTATAATTATTAGTTGTGCGTGTCTGAGTACCAAGATGAGAAAAAATCGATTCAAAAATATATATTTTAAGCTTTTGATCTATATATGTATTTATTTATATTACTATCTACAAATTGCTTATAAAAAAGGACATACTTAGAAATGTTGTATCAAAATTTTCTAAAATTTTACAATTGGATAATAGGTAACATGAATAAATGTATCATTCACTTATTTTCTTTGTTGTTTTAATTGTATTCATTTCATCTTTTAGTTTTTGCTTACATCAACATGAACAGAGAAATATGAAATATTCAGATGTATAAACAAATATGCAAATTCAAATACTCCGAATTCCATGATTAGCTGACAAACAACCGAGTATATAAATAGGGCAGTTTGTCTTTTATGATAAATTTAATCGCCACATTACAACCTTGAAATTTCTCAATGGAAATGGAGCAAGAATGATACTTTTGAGAGCTTCACCTACATTTACCTCACTGTACGGGACTGTTGATCCGAGATGTGGAAGGTTGTGAATAATTAACGCTAATGAAGAACCGAGATTACTGTATCACTGAAGACAAGAAGTGAAAAACCTGTTCTGTGTCCTGTTGTTTGTCTCTTGCCAACCAAATATACCTCATACGTCATCTGTTTTCTTTCATTTTCGCTATTTCTGTTACAAATGTAAATGTATTTAAAGGTTTATATTGGTTAAGCGCGGCAGTCTTCTGTCTGCACACAAGCTGCATTTGTTGCTGCTACAGAACCGTTTTATAGCTTGACAGAATGGCATTCCTGTGTCAAAATCATATTTAAAAAGAAGATACATACGCGCGAGTGAAATGTTTAGATATGAATTTTTTTAGAAACAAAACAAAACAAAAAAATCAAGTGACTAGGTACAGAAATATTACTTGATTCCGGTAGACGATTTTTAAAAATGCTGTCTGTATCATCAGTATTATTATTCAAATTTATACACTCACCTCACTTAACTTTTCTGAATACTAACATAAATCATATGTGGAAATAATAATCTACAAGAATTGTCTTTTAACTAAGTTATGTCGTGTTTTATATGTATATAATTTTGTATACAATGATGTGACCCTGAAACGACGCAAAAACATTTCTTGTTAATAAACTTCTCATTTGTCTTTAACCAAAGTGTTAGTAAAAAAGTTTAAATTTTGTAAGAATATATAGGGTACATTATATTTTTTGTTAAATTTGCATAAATACACCGACGCAAAGCTAATCACACGAACACACACCCAACACTTAATCTAGGACGCAGAATCATGTCTATACTCTTCAAATTTCCACGTCACTCCCATTAACCATACGCCAGGGTAGCATGGTTGGTAAGGTCCTTTCCTCGCACGCGAGGGTCCCAGGATCGTCCCCAACCGATGCCAAGTGAAACTTGTGTCACGTAGGCGCTACCCTTTTCCTTTTGTTTTTAGCGTTATTATTGCATATATATATATATATATATATATATATATATATATATATTAGGGTGGTAGATACTGAAGCCGTGAAGATGATAATGATACCAGTAATACATTTTTTTATACGATTGGGGCCGAGGAGGCTATCTATTCACATGACACCGTTCTCTCTCTCTCTCTCGGCTGCTGCCTCTCTTATCTTTTTTATATGACCACCTGTCTATCTATACTTATCCTATCAATGACCACACCAACTTTAAAAAAAAACTGAAGAATAAATTTTCATTACGAGTGCAATTTTCATTCCGTTCAAGAGCAATATTTACCAGACATTTTAAGTCTTTCAGACCAGATTTAATCCGCCGCTTGAATACATAATGATATGTACATTTGTGCGTGTAGTTTAAACCTTGAACATTGTTTATTTTACGGGGAAAACGTATGATAATGAATGAGCGATCTCAAATAAGAACAACGACTTCAAATAATATCTAAGTTGTGAATAGATTGTCACCGTTTACTCCGTTACAAGGTGTTGTCTGTCGTTACGGTAAGGGGAAAAGTTACCTAGGGAGAATTCTTGCTGATAAAGTCCCTGTGATCGATTTCTTTTCAGATTCTCCGTGAACTTTTATTAATATATCTCACATTTTACCCGATGATGATGTATCCACAAACGATCTGCTGTTAAAAAAATGGCCATGTATTTCAAACTGGCAAGATTTTTTGTTGACAAATTTTAATATAATTCGAAAATATTTAACAGCGAATTCTATTATTTTACGATATTTGTGAGTGATTTTATTCAATATCATTATTATTATTAGTTGTGTGTGTCTGAATACCAAGATGAGAAAAAATCGATTCAAAAATATATATTGTAAGCTTTTTATCTATATATGTATTTAGTTATATTACTATCTACAAATTGCTTATAAAAAAGTGACATACTTAGAAAGAAATGTTACATCAAAATTTTCTTAAATTTTACAATTGGATAATAGGTAATATGAATAAATGTATCATTCACCTTTTTCTGTATTGTTTTAATCATATTCATTTCATCTTTTTTGTTTTTGCTGATATCAACATAAACAGAGAAATATGAAATATTCAGATATATAAACAAATATGCAAATTCAAGTACTCCAAATTCCATGATTAGCTGACAAACAACCGAATATATTTATAGGGCAGTTTGTCTTGTATGATAAATTTAATCGCCACATTACAACCTTGAAATTTCTTAATGGAAATGGAGCAAGAATGATACTTTTGAGAGCTTCACTACATTTACCTCACTGTACGGAACTGTTGATCCGAGATGTGAAAAATGGCAGGTGAAAAATTACCTTGGTAGAATTCTTGCTGATATAGTCCCTGTGATCGATTTCTTTTCAGAGATTCTCCGTGAGCTTTTAGTAATATATCTCACATTTTACTCAATGATGTATCCACACACGATCTACAATTGCAAAAAATGGTCATGTATTTCTAACTGGCAAGAAGATTTTTTTGTTGCTGACAAATTTTAATATAATTCGAAAATATTTAACAGCGAACTCTATTATTTTACGCTATTTTTTTCTGATTTGCGAAGCAGAGCCTCGCCCGGGTTATGCTCATGAGGGGAGCCCGGTCTTTTTTTATTCAATATTATTATTATTATTAGTTGTGTGTGTCTGAGTACCAAGATGAGAAAAAATCGAATCAAAAATATATATTTTAAGCTTTTGATCTATATATGTATTTATTTATATTACTATCTACAAATTGCTTATAAAAAAGTGACATACTTAGAAATGTTGCATCAAAATTTTCTTAAATTTTACAATTGGATAACAGGTAATATGAATAAATGTATCATTCACTTATTTTCTTTATTGTTTTAATTGTATTCATTTCATCTTTTAGTTTTTGCTTATATCAACATGAACAGAGAAATATGAAATATTCAGATATATAAACAAATATGCAAATTCAGATACTCCAAATTCCATGATTAGCTGACAAACAACCGAGTATATAAATAGGGCAGTTTATCTTTTATGATAAATTTAATCGCCACATTACAACCTTGAAATTTCTTAATGGAAATGGAGCAAGAATGATACTTTTGAGAGCTTCACTACATTTACCTCACTGTACGGGACTGTTGATCCGAGATGTGAAAAATGGCAGGTGAAAAATTACCTTGGTAGAATTCTTGCTGATATAGTCCCTGTGATCGATTTCTTTTCAGAGATTCTCCGTGAGCTTTTATTAATATATCTCACATTTTACTCAATGATGATGTATCCACACACGATCTACAATTGCAAAAAATGGTCATGTATTTCTAACTGGCAAGAAGATTTTTTTGTTGCTGACAAATTTTAATATAATTCGAAAATATTTAACAGCGAACTCTATTATTTTACGCTATTTTTTTTTCTGATTTGCGAAGCAGAGCCTCGCCCTGGCTATGCTCATGAGGGGAGCCCGTTCCTTTTTTATTCAATATTATTATTATTATTATTAGTTGTGTGTGTCTGAGTACCAAGATGAGAAAAAATCGAATCAAAAATATATATTTTAAGCTTTTGATCTATATATGTATTTATTTATATTACTATCTACAAATTGCTTATAAAAAAGTGACATACTTAGAAATGTTGCATCAAAATTTTCTTAAATTTTACAATTGGATAACAGGTAATATGAATAAATGTATCATTCACTTATTTTCTTTATTGTTTTAATTGTATTCATTTCATCTTTTTTAGTTTTTGCTTATATCAACATGAACAGAGAAATATGAAATATTCAGATATATAAACAAATATGCAAATTCAGATACTCCAAATTCCATGATTAGCTGACAAACAACCGAGTATATTTATAGGGCAGTTTGTCTTTTATGATAAATTTAATCGCCACATTACAACCTTGAAATTTCTTAATGGAAATGGAGCAAGAATGATACTTTTGAGAGCTTCACTACATTTACCTCACTGTACAGGACTGTTGATCCGAGATGTGGAAGGTTGTGAATAATTAACGCTAATGAAGAATCGAGATTACTGTATCACTGAACACAAGAAGCGAAAAAACCTGTTCTGTGTCCTGTTGTTTGTCTCTTGCCAACCAAATATACCTCGTGTTATACGTCGTCTGTTTTCTTTCCTTTTCGCTATTTCTGTTACAAATGTAAATGTATTTAAAGGTTTGTATTGGTTAAGCGCGGCAGTCTTCTGTCTGCACACAAGCTGCATTTGTTGTTGCTACAGAGCCGTTTTATACCTTGACAGAATGGCATTCCTGTGTCAAAATCATATTTAAAAAGAAGATACATACACGCGAGTGAAATGTTTAGATATGAAATTTGTTAGAAACAAAAAAAAAAAAAAAAAAAAAAAAAAAAAAAAAAAAAAATCAAGTGACTAGGTACAGAAATATTACTTGATTCCGGTTGACGAGTTTATTAACATTTCTTGTTAATAAACTTCTCATTTGGCTTTAACCAAAGTGTTAGTAAAAAAATATATAAATTTTGTAAGAATATATAGGTTACATCATAATTTTGTTTAAATTTACATAAATACACAGACGCAAAGCTAATCACACGAACATACACCCAACACTTAAACTAGGACGCAGAATCATATGTCTATACTCTTTAATTTTCCACGTCACTCCCTTATACCATACGCCAGGGTAGCATGGTTGGTAAGGTCCTTTCCTCGCACGCGAGGGTCCTAGGATCGACCCCAACCGATGCCAAGTGAAACGTGTGTCACGTAGGCGCTTCCCTTTTCCTTTTGTTTTTAGCGTTATTATTGCATATATATATATATATATATATATATATATATATATATATATATTAGGGTGGTAGATACTGAAGCCGTGAAGATGATAATACCAGTAATACTTACAATTTTTTATACGATTGGGGCCGAGGAGGCTATCTATTCACATGACACCGTTCTCTCTCTCTCTCTCTCGGCTGCTGCCGTATGATAATGAATGAGCGTATGATAATGAATGAGCGATCTCAAATAAGAACAACGACTTCAAGTAATATTTGAGTTGTGAATATATTGTCACCGTTTACTCCGTTACAAGGTGTTGTCTGTCGTTACGTTAAGGTGAAAAGTTACCTAGGGAGAATTCTTGCTGATAAAGTCCCTGTGATTGATTTCTTTTCAGAGATTCTCCGTGAACTTTTATTAATATATCTCACATTTTACTCAATGATGATATATCTACATACGATCTACTATTGAAAAAAATGGCCATGTATTTCTAGCTGACAAGGAGATTTAACGGCTTACTTTTTTTTTTTTTTTTTTTTTTTTTTTTTTTTTTTTTTTTTTTTTTTTTAGTTATATATGCGTGTGATTTTATTCAATATTATCAGTTATGTGTCTGATTACCAATAATAGATAAATGACATTTACAAAGAAATGTTACATCAAAGTTCTCGTAATATTTACAAATAAGATAAATTTATGAATATGAATAAATTTAGCATTCACTTTTCCTTGATGCATAAGCCCATTAGTAGGTGGGATTTTTTTTTTCTTTATTGTTTTAATTGCATTCAATTGTATTTAAAAAAAAAATATTCAAATAACCCAGCATATATATATATATATATATATATATATATATATATATATATATATATATTAATATCTTCTAATCGCCGCATTGCAGCCTTGAAATTTCTTAATGGAAACGGCAGAAAGAATGATACTTTTCAAAGCTTCAACATTTTCTTTGCAATCCATCAGCATTTATTGCTACTATTAAGTCGGTTCATAACTGATAGAAATGACATTCCTGTATCCAAACCGTATTTAAAAGATAAATACAAACACGCACACACATACACACACACACACACACACACACACATATATATATATATATATATATATATATATATATATATATATGTTATATATATATACATATATATGTATATATTCATAGGTACATATACATGTACATATATATATACATATATATAAACACATAAATGTATATATATCCAATATGCAGTCTTTTTTCGCCACATTAAAACTAAATCTTACTGTCTATCTATCTCACTATCTATCTATCTTACTGTCTGTCTATCTATCATACTGTCTCTCTGCCTTATTCACTGTCTGTCTGTCTACCTATCTCTCTGTCTATCTGTCTGTCTATTTGTTTATCAATCTCACTGTCTATCTAGCCATCTATATATCTATTTATCTTTCTATCCCTCCTACTGTCTACCCATCTTTCTATCTATCCATCTTTCTGTCTATCCATCCTTTTATCTATCCGTCTCTCTCTCTTTCTATCTATCTTACTAAGTATCTATATATATATCTACTTAGCTATTTATTTATTTATTTCCCTTCTTTTATCATACACACACACACACACACACACACACACACACACACATATATATATATATATATATACATATATACACACCTCCTTCGGCAAAAGAGGTACAGGCTAAATATATTCTAATTGACAACCACATCGCAAAATAAAGACAAACAAACAAACCAAAGGCCATCCGCAAAATTACAGCTTATTAATTCCGAAAAACAATTTCGTAAATATCCAAGATGGTCTAATATGCTAAACACTTGTCTTTGAGGGGGGGGGGGCTGGGGTTAGACTTTACGGCCATAAATGTACTAACTTTATTAATAATTTTCATATCAGTAAAAATAATAAAAAAGATAACACAAACAATGTAGATCTCATTGCATTCGGTATGACGAAACGATTCTGTTTAAGTGATGTAAAATCCTCAGTCAATAAAAGTAAAAGTAGGCGAGTTACTATAAAGAAATATAAATTTAAATATCTATTATTTTTAAAAAACGTTCCCCTCCCCCCGTTTCTATCTTCCTATCTATTTTCTTTCTCTCTCCCGTGCTTCATATCTTGTTATGTTGTGTTTTGCTTTTCAAATATTTATGTACGTATGCGTTACATATACATAAACGAACACAATCGCTTACACACACTTCATCCTTTTTTTATTATTATAACATCTATATGTTACCTTTAGATGTAATAAAAATCAATATACACCCACGAACTCGAAAGTGAAATGAAAAGAACTGCTCTTTGGGATTAATGAGCTGAAATATATATCAGTGTGTTGTTTATCGATGTAATTGTCCCAAGAATATGCTCAGTGCTCTTTTTTCGTGCGAGTAATGTATATGTTCATAAAACACACAAAGAATAAAGAAAATTAGGGATAAATAGACAAATGGAGAGAGAGACAGAACGAGACAGTCTATGTTTGTAGCCACAACCCAGATTATTTTCTGAAAAGAAATGTATAAAAGTGAGAGGACAGAAAACGGTTACGACAGAAGAAATAGACACCAACAATAATAATCGTAATAACAGTAATAAGGGTGATCAGAATAATGAAGCAAATTAATGTAGTAATAATAGTAATAAATCATAGCAACAGTCATAATAGTAATAGGAATAGATATTAACAATAACAATATTAACGATGACGATGGCAACTGCATTTGAAATACCTATATTTATCTATTACTAGAATTATAAGTGTATAATAAATAATGCTAATAATAGTAAGTTGCCATTTGGCTACGATTTTTTACTTTTCATATCAAATCTGCCTTCTCTCTCTCTCTCTCTCTCTCTCTCTCCCTCTCTGTCTGAGCATCTATCTATCCATGTATCTATCTATCGATCTCACTGTTTATCTGTCTATATATCTGACTATCTATCTCACTATCTGTCTCACTCTATCTGTCTGCCTTCTCACTCTATCTTTGTCTATCTCACTGTCTACATGTCTATCTCACTGTCTATCTGTCTGTTTCACTTTCTATTTGTCAATCTATCTCCTGTCTATCAGTCTATCAATATCTATCTATCTATATCACTAGCTGTCTATCTATCTGTCTATCTATCTTACTGTTTCTATCTACCTTACTATCTGTATATCTAACTTACTATCTGATTATCTTATTATCTGTCTATCTATCTTACTGTCTGTCTATTAATCTCATTGTCTATATCATTGCCTCTGTCTCTCTACCTATCTCACAATCTATTTCACATTCTATCTCTCTATATCACTGTCTATTTGTCAATCTATCTCCTGTCTATCACTCTATCTCACTATTTGTCTATCTATATCACTATCTATCTATCTTACTATCTGTCCATCTTAATATCTGTCTATTAATCTCGCTATCTGTATATCTATCTCACTGTCTATCTGTCTGTCTCACTGTCTATTTATATAAGTCTCTATATATCTCACTGTCTATCTCACTGTCCGTCTGTCTGTTATCTCACAATTTGTCTAACTGAACTGTTTATCTGCCTATCCCTCTCACTTTCTATCTGTATATCTATCTCACCGTCTATCTATCTCAGAGTGTGAAGAAGAAATCATTTAAAGAATTAAAAAAGAGAAAATGGACAAGAGAACTGGGATTCTTCAATTACAAGGGTAACATTTCTAGCCAAAAACAGCTTTTATTTCTCTACGAGATCTAAATCTAAATTAATATCAGTTAAAGAAAAGAAATTAAGATGATATTATATTCATACTTATTTCGATAGAACATTTATGAAACGTGTTATTCCTGCTGCAGTTTGCTTTAAGAAAGAAATAGATGGAGAGAGAGAGTGAAAGTGATTGAGAGAGAGAACTGTCAGTCTGTCTGTGTGTTTGTAGCCACAGCCCATGATACTGGTAATGTAGATCAGAATAACGATGCAAATTAATATAGTAATAATAGTTATTATTATTCAACATTAATACAATCATTGATATGATCACGTTAATGCTCTACAATCATTAGATAGACTGCATTAGGGTAAACATATTGATGTTTTTATTTTAGTTTAATGCAACAAAACATTTAATAAACGCCTTTGTTGGACAATTAGTCTGAGAACATCTTTGAACGCAAACTTAACTACATTTACGCACACACACATACATACAAACATACACAAAAGGGTTCAAATAAAAAATAATGATAATTTCGTTGCGACCAAAAAACAAACTACACTAACTGTTCATACCTCTCTCTCTCTCTCTCTCTCTCTCTCTCTCTCTCTCTCTCTCTCTCTCCCTCTCTAATAATAATAATAATAATAATAATAATCTTTAATAATAATAAAAATAACAGTGATGCTATAATCGTAATAAGATTAGTATTGGTGATCAAAATGGTGTTGCATATGAACAGAGTAATAATAACAATAATGGATAGCTACAGAGAGAAACACAGTAGGAATATATATGGTTAAAATGACAGTTCGAAATATTTTTGTCTCACGAAACTATGTACTGCATAACCGTTACAAAAATACTTAGACCAATAACTGCTAAAAAATAAAAAATAAATCACTTCCTTCTATTTCTCGCTTTCTATCCATATTTACTTCTCTCTTCTCTTCTCTTTCTTTTCTCTCCTCCTCTCTCTCTCTCTCTCTCGCTTTCCTCTACTTTTTTATCTCTCTCATACAAACAGAAAACAAAACAAAAACAAAAAACAAAATCAAATTGTGAAATCTGCAGCTTATTAATTCCAAACAGCAATTAAGTAAACATCCAGGATTGTTTAGAATTGAACTCAATCCAACTTGCTGCCAGAGTGTAAGATATCGATTAAGGATATATAGCGGTCAAGGAGAAAGAGCGAGAGCGAGATGAAGTACCTAATAGATAAATAGATAGATACACACGTATACACAAGCAGAGATTTATAGTGTATATGAGGGTTTGCGTGTTCAAAGATGGTCTGAGACTAACTGCCCGAAAAACATATACTAAATGTTTGTTAATTTAAATGTTTATCTTTAACATAAACATTGATGTGTTCAGGGTGATGCACTACAATGACTAACGTATGTTAGGGCAAACCTGTTGATGCTTATATTTTAGATGAACTTTAGATTTTGCCAAAACATTTAATAAACATATTGTTGATTAGTCTGAAAACACCTACGGGCACAGACACACTCTACAGATAAGTTCATCGCGAACCAAATACCAAGTACAAAAATATTTGTATTTTGCGATTTCTCTCTCTCTCTCTCTCTCTCTCTCTCCCTATTTTAAAGATTTTCACCTTTTCTTCATTACCTCTTGTTATTTTTCTTGTTATACTTCTTTTAATCGTTTTCTCAAAAAGAAACGCCGATTTAAAAATAGAAAAGAAATGGATGTAAATATTTTCAGAACATTAACCAAGGGCAGATTATTATATTAATAAAGGTTAAAATATCTTAATTCTGTGCTTTACGAAAAAAATAGGCCTATCCCTAAGAACAACCAACCCTATCGACGAAAGAGAGAGAGAGAGAGAGAGAGAAATAAGCCATCTTGGATATTTAGTAAAGTGCTGTTTGGAGTTAATAAGCGGCAGATTTCACAGTTTGACTTTGTTTTGCGGTATAATTGTCTATTGATATATTACAATATATGTATGTATGTAACTTTGGGTTAGATTGTATTAATAATATTTTCAAAAGATATGTACTGAAGAATGAAGACTATTTTTGCTTTAAAACCTTATGCCAATATGAAATATCAGATTAAGACTACGCAATGGAAAAAAGAGAAAGAAAAAGGGACAGATAAGGGCAGAGAAAGAGAGAGAGAAAAAAGAAAAACATACTGATCAGAAAGTAATCAAAATGATAGTCAGGTAACAGCCTTCTCAGTTTTAGATATATTATATTTGTATATAACAATCCATATATTTATACTTATCCCTATTATCATGCCACTACTAATGGCATCTATTACTGTCTGTTATTACAGTTATTAATATTACTGTCATGATTATTTTTATCCTTTGCCTGTTCCTCTTCTCTAATCTTCCTCTCTTCCCATCAATCACTTCCACTTTCGACTTTCTCTCATGTTTGTACCTCCTATTTTGTGAAAGTAAGCCTAGATAGCCTCTTCGGCCCCAATCGTATAAAAAAAATTGTAAGTATTACTGGTATCATTATCATCTTCACGGCTTCAGTATCACCCTGATATATATATATATATATATATATATATATATATATATATATATATATATGCAATAAAAACGCTAAAAACAAAAGGAAAAGGGTAGCGCCTACGTGACACAAGTTTCACTTGGCATCGGTTGGGGTCGATCCTGGGACCCTCGCGTGCGAGGAAAGGACCTTACCAACCATGCTACCCTGGCGTATAGTTAAAGGGAGTCACGTGGAAATTTGAAGAGTATAGACATGATTCTGCGTCCTAGTTTAAGTGTTGGGTGTGTGTGCGTGTGATTAGCTTTGCATCTGTGTATTTATGCAAATTTAACAAAAAATATAATGTAACCTATATATTCTTACAAAATTTGATCTTTTTTACTAACACTTTGGTTAAAGACAAATGAGAAGTTTATTAACAAGAAATGTTTTTGCGTCGTTTCAAGGTCACATCATTGTATACAAAAATATATACATATAAACCACAATGACATATCTTAGTTAAAAGACAACATGTCTTGTAGATTATTATTTCCACATATAATTTATGTTAGTATTCAAAAAAGTTAATTGAGGCGAGTGTATAAATTTGAATAATAATACTGATGATACAGATAACATTTTAAAAAATCGTCTACCGGAATCAAGTAATATTTCTGTACATAGTCACTTGATTTTTTTGTTTTGTTATGTTTCTAACAAATTTCATATCTAAACATTTCACTCGCGCGTATGTATCTTCTTTTTAAATATGATTTTGACACAGGAATGCCATTCTGTCAAGGTATAAAATGGCTCTGTAGCAGCAACAAATGCAGCTTGTGTGCAGACAGAAGACTACCGCGCTTAACCAATACAAACCTTTA